TTAGTGCAAGAGAAGATGGTGGGGCTGTTAGACTTCATATGCTCCGACCGCATTGATTATGTGACAGATGCTTATCTTCACGCTTTAACGGCCGTTTATCCAAGATCAAGGTACCAAGCCGGATGGGATTCAATATTAATGTGAGTCCTTCATTCCTCTCAAAGATACTGAGTGGTGATCTGTTGAAGAAATGTTTTAGATAATGATGCTTGAGCGCTTTTTTTCGTTTCTTTTTCGCCGTATAGTTTCGGCTAACTCTTTTGTTTATGAGATCCAATGTGTGAGCTCTTCAGATTTATCCCGTTTTCGATGGTTCCAACTGCAATACAGGACCTTGTGATGCGAGTCGGGGCGTTTCTAAGCGGTATGCCAGCTCCACCAGTACTGCGGAAAGAAAAGGATAAGACGTTAGTTGACAACACCATTTTCATTGCGACTAAGCAGAGCAAGGAGTAAGCCTGGGAAGGTTATAAAAATCGACGGAGCCATTTACAATCAACAACAACAGTCTATTATTTGCTGCAAAGAAACTGGACTAGACGTTGAAATAGAATTTTTTGTTTGGATAAAGTTAGATTTTTCCGGAACTGTCGCCAGAACACATCCACTAATGGAGTTGAATAGGGGTTGAAGAACTACATGTCGGCGGATGGGTTCGGAGCAGCGTCGGGAAGTTTTCTGCCACCTGCTGTCGCTTGTCCCAGAAAGTGATGGAGAACGGCTCATGGCACTTCAAAGCCAACCCCCCTACAAGGAATAATGAGCATTCGCCCATTACAGTACAAGCGCACCCTAACGTGATTACAGATAGCTTGGAAACAACTTCAGGATGCAGTTATATCACAGCGATCATCCCCCCTCTGCTAGTCAATTGGCTTGCGATAGTACCATATAAAATGCGCTAGTTTCGCAAGGTGAAACGAGTAGTCGTGGGTAGAATCCTTGCACATTCACTCACATTGTAGGAATTTTTTTGGCAGTATGGCTGGTGTTGGGGGTTGGTTCTTATATGAACCATACACATAAGCTCTTTGAAATCTCTCAAAGCGAAAAGTCGCCGGCAGAGCCAAAAGCAATATTTCATGGAAAAGGACTTTACTGCCTGTTTGTAGAATTTCTAGGGGATTCCGATGGATCAGGGTAACATCCACAATCCGATCTGTTGAACACTGAAAGAAGGCCGACGTCACGCATGAAATCGTTCAGAAAAGTAGGGTTCCTCTTACTTCATGACAGGGCTGGGACCGCCTGATGATGACTTCTCACAAAGTTGTAGAATTGAGATGGGAGGTATGGCTGCTACCTGCTCACGCACGGAACTTACCAATTTCTGAACACCACTTTTTGTTTATTTTGTTTACACTGCTTCTACCTCACTAGATGTCCAACCGCCGCTGGCGATTCCGATGATATGTTCTCAACATAACAAGGAAGTCCTAGACAACACGAAACGTGCACTTATCAGAGTTCCGCCGTGAATCCGCTGTACATGTGGATAGTAGTCAGAAGCGAAACTGACCTAACTAAAAAAACTGAAACTTATGTTCCCGAACGTATAATAGTGATGTGAGGCACATAGCACCGACTACATAGAACTCGCAACGGCAAAAGTCATCTGTTATTGAAGTACACTCATTACGTTTGCTCATCCTCGGGATTCTAGTGGAAATCTGAACCCCTCCGCTCATGCTCTTAGGACAAAAAGAAGATCGTACTTCAGCATGTCAAAACGTGGCGAGCCAAATGACATCTGAGATGTCATTTGGCTCGTCACTATACAACGGTCTTCCGACCTTATCTTTTTCTCTACCACTCTCAATATTTCCCGTTCCATATTCCGGCCTACGCTCTACTCCTAGCTCTCAATCATTCTAGTTTTAACTCACTCTACATTCAATGGCTTTACCTTCCCGAGGAACTCATCATCATAGTTTTAACCGTGGTGAAATCCCTTCTGCGCCCCCTTCACTTGTGCGTCTTCGCTCTCCCCTTTCGCTTGCTCCGCTTGTTCATTCGCCTACTCCTAGATTACACGATTCAGTCCTCATACCGCTTGCAATATCTACAGTTGATGCATAAATTTACTGGTGATCTCCTTAGTTTTGGTACATTAGGATAAATTTAATCACTCAAGTTTGAGGTTGTCTTCTCGAGTGTTCGATTCCGCATCTCAGTCTCATCTGGTGGAAGGAAATTGCGAGCAGCTACCGCTACTAGAGGAAATGTCCTCAGTTGGTGTACCAGCCGAAGAAGATTGGTTGACGTCTTCAAATGATGCATCGAGAAATCTGCACACTGCAGAGGCGATAGGCAGGTCGGAAAAAGAAACCTTTGCAAAGTGCTAAGAAATTCTACGGGACTGTCAAAGCATCACTTTATTGAATTTTGCTTTATTTGCACTTTGTTCAGTTTTTCTTTGCAGTTCCATTTGCAATTTTTGGAGCAAGCTGCAGGAAACATTTTCTTTCTGAGTTCCTCAAATTTCAGATTTATTTCATACGGCCTTCATTTCATCTTCTAGGTTGAACTATCACGCAAACCAAGAACTCTAGCGGTTAGCAGAGAAAACTGCTCCATATATACGGTTACTGAACTATTATAACCACAAGCTAAACATAATAGTCCCCTTCTTCAAAGAGTCAATAATTAAGTTTATCCCAGAGGACGAATATTAGCGACTCGGGCTGGGAGAAGGAAATGCAGTGGGCGCTAGGGACGAGAGAAGTTTGCACATCAAAATAGAGCAATTGTAGCAAGATTATGCTAGTGTTCTAGACTGGCTGGTGTGCGTTGCTAAAAAGGAGGCCATACTCTACTTGTCACATAGCCAGTGCAGAGCAAGCATTGGTTGGAGCGCTCGACTATGCCGTAACCCTGTAGAGTCACTTGCCCTCAAAACCTTGGCTGCAAGGGCAATAACAGCGCTCCTCCAGTAGATGCAATAGATACTGTCGAAACGCAACCATTGACACTGCCCGCAATACTACCTGTTCTCTTCACCGGCAATATATGCGGCTGAGATAAGTTCTTACAACATTCAGCACCAATAATATACCATACCATTCCCAATCTTCGTATATTCAACCATCTTCTGAGCGCATTAAGAGGCAAATCATTAAACGCTATAAAAAGTTTATAATTTCGGAGGAGAATTGTCGTGAAGCAGTCAAGTATCTGCAGTCAAAGCATGAGAACAATAATGGTGTTATCCATCGGCTTATTATGCGCTCCGACAGTGCAACTGTGAGGTCATTGTCACTGAAAAAAAGCGCATATTGTCAAAAATTCTAAGTAATTGTGTCTAAACGTGGGATAAAAAGGAACCAGTGGACGGTTAGCGGCTTCAAAACATCCACTGGCCAATTTCCCGCCCGAAGTTTCCGGAGAGTTTGCTAAAAGAGCATTCCATGAAGGAAGCTTTTCGTGTAGATATCATATCGACCCTGGATCAGACATCTCTATCGCAAAAAAGGCCGTTTTTTTACTTTTAAAACGTGTCATGTTCTCTACAGTTGTCTACGAAAAGGGGCCGCACCCTCGGAGAGGAAGTCCTGCGCAGCAATTCAGATGGATTTGCCGTGGCGGGCATCTCAAATGAAAAATCCAAAGCAGGCACCAAATATTGAACACCTTAGGAATGTTCAAAGCACATGCGCAAGCGGAAATTATGGTTTATTTACGCACACCCCCTACGCCTTATCAGAAAGCTCCATTTACAGACAATAGTCACTACTACCGTTCGTGTGCGGGCTTGTGGCTCAAAGGAAGTCTTTGAAAGTAACCGTTGAAAGGTATCTTAGAGACATGGGAAGAGCACGTTGACCTTCATAGGTTGAAGCTTTTCACCCACGACATCCTCACGAGGAAATTGGAGACGGTTTGTACTAGTACTTGAAGGATGACGAGGAAAAGGCAGCAAACGCGAAAAAACGATTTAAAGAGAAGAAGGGGTAATCGTCCATTGAAGTTAACACTTTCTATCCACACGTTTGTATCGCCAAGTAGGTGATGATTATTGCCAGGATGACTGCTTCCACTGCTACGTGTAAGGTTTTGTACCGTCAACGAATACCGTCTAAGATGTGGAATATATGCGTCCTCTCAATTCCTTTTTTTTCCAATGTATCACCGTGGATCTCTGATGACATAGGCGCTCGTGCAGAGTGAGTGAACTTGAGGACCACCCCAATTTCGAATGTTGTTAAGACATTCTATATGAAACAAAACATGTCATACTTGTCCTATGTCAATCCTTCGATGAAGACAAGCTGCAAGAAGGAACTGACACCAATGCTCATCACAATTGCTTGAGGCAGAGTCCTCACACTGGATATGTGCCTGTAGATGCGCTAATGACTTAGAATGACTTGGAAGGTGCATCCAGCTCTATGTACTGGCGTAGGTTTATAGACGCCATATTTTAGCTTATGTCCACTTCATGTAAAGCAATCTAGTGTACATAAGCAAAAAGGCGTCTATCAACCAATTCTTCACGTATAAGGAGAGTGGAGCTTGCCACGCTATAAGCGGTAGTAAGAAGTATCCTATGTCTGACCCCAACTACTTCCGAACTAGAATATGTCTATTGACATCACACTACAATAGTACCTTTTGGACCAACGAAATCATTGAAAGCTTGTCTCAGATTGACTCGAAACTCCACAACATTACACAACATATGTGTTCACTGGAAAGCTGAATATCAAATGTAGACGAACTACTTAATCGTGACACGTAATATAGAGTAATCAAAGGCAAGGGATGGCCGCCTACCGGTCCGTGCTTGGTAACAAATGCGCCAATACACTACGAAGCATAATCATAGTTCCACCCATGAATCTCACAAAATCCCGTCTTACACGACGTTTTCAAAAATGCCCCGTACAAAAAAATGTGGTAATTACCAATACCAATTCGCATGCCAACAACAAACACTAACTTGAAAAAACAATTTTTTCGTCAATTTTTTTCAAAAATGGTCGTTCTGACAACGCAGCAAAAGTATAGTTCCACCGAACAAATCGAATATTCCAACAACAAGTGTACAATAAAATGAATAAATTTTGATCCAGTAATCTATTGGAACTCTATTTCTCCAATTAAGTTGGAAAATACGGTTGCCCATGTTCGATTAGAGCTTCGGCCGACTGCCCCAATGATTACTCCCTAAGCTCACGGACATTGTGGAATTGTGCATTACTCTCATGGATCATACGCACCATGAAGCCCCTCACATCCTCGATTGGGTTTTAGTCGGGGCTACTCGCTGGCCAGGGCAAAAGAGCGGTTTGGTGACAACTCGTGCTCTACAGGGGGGGGGCAAAAAAAAGTCATTTCGGCCGAGCCACATATCAACGAAGTTTTCGCAGCCCAGACAGGGGAAGTGGATATGAGTACCAGGTGGAAGATACCCAAGATCTTCCTCTATAAGCTGGAGCAGGCTGCCGCCAATCGCC